AGTGGTTACCATCCCACGTTGACATCTTTGGCAATGGGCAAGCGGATCGATTGGCCAAGGAGGGCTGTAATCATTCAACACCTTCGTCCTCAGCCCTTACCTACTCAGAGAATCAGTTCAAAATCAACCCCCTCTCATAACTGGTAAGCTGACAAGGAACCGGGCTCTTCACTTGTTCATATAGGTGATAGAGCGTCTCAAGCAGCAATTTCTAGATTGGCAAGTGGACAATAGTCTCTCGTACTTTAAAGGAAGAAAGACCTATGCAGTCTGCTCCAAATGCGAAGCCCAGCAGGCCTCTGCCGAACATATCCTTGACTGCTTCGGCCTTTCCAAGCAGGACTTATATGCTACTCCCCTTCTTGTCATCAACTTTTTGAGGATCAACAACCTATTGGATCTTGTCTGACACCGTCAGACAATTGGAGGATAAGGAACAACCACAACAACGGGTTTCTTCCAATTTGGAATCATGTTAAATACATGTATAATGCTTACGCAAATTCAAATTAAGGACTCAATTAAACTTAACTTTTGATCTAAAATAATTGAAAATATTTAATTTTAAATGAAAGAAAATTAACCAAAAAATTAATTTTGAAAATTCTTTTGGAAAAGATGGGATAATATTGCAATAATGCAATAATATTGAAAAAGCAATAATATTGAAATGCAATAATATGCAATAATATTGAAAAAGAAGCTGCCAACATTTGAGCATCCAAAATAAAATATTATATACAACTCAATTTACCAAATTGAAATTTAGATAGTTAACTAGAAAAAATCACGTTGTATCAAAGTGCTAGTATCAAGTGTCAAGTCATCACCATTATCTGCCTTTTATTATCATTCAAATGTTCATTAATTTTAAGATGGATAGTAAGGACAGTTTTTTTTATTTTCCCTTCCGGGAAACAAAATATTGTTCCTTTTGTAAACGTTTTGCATATTTTAAGCAAATACTTATCTAATATAAACTTACAAAATGCACAATAATGTTAAAATTAACGTATAATAAAGATAATGACAGCAATAAAACATTTTCAACTTCCTTTATTATTCAACACACCTGAGCAAGATTATATAAGATTTTCATGCAAAAAAAAATTTCTACGTCATCGAACCTAATCATAAAAATTTATTTTTATAATCAATTTTAATTTTTTTTACAGAGTAAGTAAAGCATGAAGGACAAGAATGCTAGCGAGAGTCAGTGGCTGCTAATGAAATTCTAGCATTTATATGTAATCTGAACAAATGTCAGTTATATATAGATCTATAAGATACAAGTCATTTTGATTTTTAGAAGATGACAAATGAATAAATAGAAATAAAAACAAATGAAAATGCTTCTTTCCGTAATTGTTGTGAACATAGGACAGCAAATCACATATTTCTATAGAATGAACCATATATGCCAGGAAATATTTTTATGAAAATGGCTAAAAATATTTCTTTTGACCAATAAATGCAAATTCTAAAGCATACATTCAAATTCCATTGTAGACTAATCCACATAGACTGGTCGTCTCCATACAGACTGGGTATGGGTTAGAGCCCCCTTGCACTCGGGATAACAGTGGGAGATTTTCGTGGTTTTCCACTCCACGTAACACAAATAGGAGTTAGTGCCATCAAAATGCTCCCCACGAAGACTAGCTTATTCCAAGCTTTATCCGGCAGTTTCCATGGCCTGATTATCACCTAGGCCCTATAGGCATGGGTCGAGGGCCCACAATTTCTGAGGGGCCTCAAAAATTAGTAAGAATTTTCAATATTACTGTTTCTTTTAAATACTGAAAGAACAGTTTTTCTCAAAAAATAAATTTCTTTTATTTCAAATTTTCTTCAAATCTTAGCATACTTTTCTTGGAAATCTTTTCTTCAAATCTAGACCTTGTCTTCTAAACTTATCGTTAAATCTAATGAAAGGTGGGCTAGCTTTGTGCTGGTTTAAGTACTAAATAAAAAATAATTGCAGCCTACGATGAAAAGTAATTCAGCTAATCAGTGACTTTTATAGTAAAAATCACTGATTTCAATTGTTTGTTTTCACCAAACTATTTTTATTTTGACTTAACATTGTTTTGTTCTTTCATATTTTGCTTTGATACGCAATAGATTGATACGTTTGATAGTTGCGTAAACTTTATCTTAGAAAAATAATCTTCAATTCTCTGCTTTCAAAATTTCTTAGAATGTTCCTCCTGAATCATGCAGTTCAATGGATTCTTTTTTATTCTTAGGACTTCCTTTCCGTAATTAAATATCAAAATATTTTGTAAGGAACCCGGAAAATTTGGTGGGCCTTGGGCCTGAATTTGTCTTGATGGGTCCCTGGCAGTTCCCTTGTCTTCTGTGTTAGATTCAAAATTTCATGACTACAGAATTGATCACTGATGGTCGTAAACTCAAATGTGGGTCTCCTGTTCACAACAGGAAAGAATGCTAGATTTTATATATTGTTATAAAACTTCTGTCACAGCTTCTGTCAAGGGTTCGAGATGTAATGCAGTTTGGAAATCTTATATAATCTGTTTTGAAATATTTATTTAGTAGATAATTGTTACGCTTGTAAACACGCATTTTACATAGTTCAGTTTTAGAAGAAAAAAAATTATACTTTCTATGTTTCAAAATAATTGCTCGGTTTGAAATTTTACTTTAAGTTCTTGAAACCTCAAATTAAATATTTCAAATATTAAAACCTATTGTATTGACATGAGTATTGCCAATTTTGAGAAGAAAAAAAAGAAGTAAATACATTATTGCAAACATTATTAAAATAAAAGTTATTGTTTAATATTAAAATAAAAGTTATTGTCGGTTAGAAATTTTACTTCAAGTTCTTGAAACCTCAAATTAAATATTTCAAACATTAAATCCTTTTGTATTGACATGAGTATTACGAATTTTGAGACGAAAAAAAAAGAAGTAAATACATTATTGCAAACTATATTAAAATAAATGTTATTGTTTATTGTTAGCTTTAGTGAATAATAAACAGTAATGGGTATTATTAATCAAATATCTGTCTAATTCATTTCTAATAGTCTTGCCATTTTCTATACATTGATAATCGAGGGTACATAAATTGTTAAAATTTAAAACAACTTTATAAAAATAATTCTTAAATCAAACAACCATAAACAATACGAAATTGTTGTGACGCAAATTTTAAAAAGCATCTCCCTCTGTTAAAAATGTGTATAATTAATCAGATTAAAGCAGTTATGAAATAATAAGCACTTTTACCTTTTTCTAAATTCTGATGATATAATAAAAAAAAATTTCCAATCAAAACTTTAAAGAAACACCAAATAAAGCTTTATAACTTCATATTTTCATTTTAAATAAGTTTCATTTATAAATAAGTTTTTGCGCCTCATTTATGAATATATTTATAACAGAATAACATATTAAAGCAATTGCACAATGTAATAAGATTTCAACAAGAACTTTGAAGGAGAATGTCTTAAAACCTACTCTAGATGAGTTAACTGGACTCAATTCTGCTTATATAGTCTTAACTCTTCAATACTATAATGATCTGCATTTTTAGATTAGGTGTTTTATTAGTAAAATTATTTTCAGTGAGAGTTTTCTTAGTTTGCCTTGATCCAATATGCTATAAGATTTCATGAATTTAAATTTTCTTCTATTTATGTTAAAATATTGACCATTATTATGTTCTGTACTTAGTTTTATGAAGTTTTTGTTTAATAATATTAAAACTAAGTTGGGAAGAATTCCGGATCAAATTACAATCAAAAGTGACGCCGCTACCATACTTCTTACCGTAAAATTTTATGGAAAATAATATGTTATGCCATAATTTTTACATTAATACTTACTGTAAAACCACTATATCACTGTAATTAAACCAATATCACTGTAAAAATTACGCTATCAAATTTTAGGGTAAAAATAAATTTTACGAATGCCACCCATAGGGTGCCAGTATTTTTTCTGGAATTTGATCAGGAATTTGTTTTACACAGCAGATAACTATTTTCGTGCACAGACTATATTCTCGTTCATTTCTGGTAAAAAAAATTATACTTTTGGTTAATAAAAGCAAAATATATGGTATTTAAACCATTTATTTGAAAATTTTTCTGTTCAAATGATAACAGTTTATTAGAAATTTTCGTTTTCAAAATTATAGCTTTTATTACCTTATATTTAATAAAAAGTACAAATCTGAAAAGAAAATTTGACCGAATAAAAGATTTGTATGTCGGGTAAGATTTGTAGTAGATTTGGTATAAAATAACCAAATCTTACAATATTTACCAAATTTTATCACACATTATGAAACCATATTTTATTGTTAATTTTACCAAAATTAATACCAAAGCGCTTCTGGAAAAATTACCGAGTTTTTATTAATGTTCCCATAGAGCCAGAAGCACTGTATATTTTATCATATTCTGGTAGTTTTGACAATATTTTTTTTTTGAAACTTAACGTTATTTTATTTATTTATGCTGTGAAATCAAACATATTGTAAATCCTTATCCAAATAAAATGTTGTAGATTTTCATACAATCTTAATTCAAAACTAAATTAGATCTAATATCTCATTTCTAGCCCTGTCACTATTCAATTTTATATATCTATTATTATTTTCTCTATCATTTATTATAATTTTGTTATAATCATTCAGCTATTATCTAAAAATTTTCACGTCCAGACGCATCCGTAAACACTGTTTAGAAATTCATATGCAAAAATTTTTGCAAATTCATAGAAATTAAAGAATAACTTTTTGTCTTCCTTATCTGTTTTATAATGGCACGCAGAAAGGTAGTTATATTTATTGACGGTTCTGATTGGTTAAATAGTGCATAGTATTTAAATATTTTCGCTACAAGCATGACTTTCACATTTTGTGATTAACTGCCATAAACATGAATTAGCGATAATTTTTTCAGTGTATGGAAAAATATTGCTTTGTTGTGAAAGGTGACAGACTATTTAAACTTTGTTCTTTCTTTTTGTTCCTCTTGTTCTTTCCAAGATTGAAGGCTTATTGATGTTCACTTTCAAGTCATTTACATAAATTTTACAAGTTGCTTAAATGAAGAAAATTACACTGCTCTCTTGAAATCATTTAAGTAAATCATTTTATATGTTCACTGAATAAATTACTCCGTAATCTATCAAGTTCAAGTATGTTTATTACGTTTCCTTCGAAAAGAAGTATTTTACGGATCCTTTTAACAATTTATAATTTATATTCAATTCAAGGTGGTAAGTAAAAGATTTGCTTAATAGAAATTTTTTTTTTTTTCGAAATAAGGTTTCTTTTTTCTATAGTTCATTAAAAATGTTTTGCCTGTAAGTAATCGAGATTATTTGCAATAGTAGTAGCAATAATAGTTTACTTACGCCAAACTAGAGCTGCGAGTCCTAGAGTTAGAGTTTAGGAAAAATCCCTATTGATGATTCGAATACATATCATCACAATTTTGATCCTCTAGCTAAGAATGATTCCTCCACTTTGGTAGCCTGACGATATGCGCGTGAAGTCGAGTACTTTATGGTAAAACAGTTTAACGAGGACCGATTCCACACACCCTCGGACCCTTTGCTGGCTGATAAACGTAGTCACCAATCCGCACACTGAACGCAGCCAGTGATGCTAGATTTCAGTCATCTACTAAGATCCGTGTCCTAACAATCGGTCTATTTACACTGTACTATAGTACATGTACTGTACTTACTTGTATAATATATCATGATTATTTTCAGCAGTAAAGCATGATTATTGATAATTGCATGATTATTGATTATGGTTACTTAATGTTATTAGATTATAATTATTCATAATAATAGTTCATAGTTAGTTGTTAACAGTAAATCGTGATCACTTGTAACGGCTGTTCATAATATCTTGTAATCACACCTTATTTTGTTCGTAGAGTATAATAATTATCAGAGAAACTTTTTAATTTAGTCTCACTCATTTATAATTTTTACCAAATCTGAAAATTTCTAGCTAAATAACTATACTCGATTCAAAGTTAATGTTCGACAGGTTGATTGCAACATTTTCTAATAGTTTTACTGAATATCGCTTTTCATCTCTAAATAAGGTGACTTTTTAAAACGAAAATAAGTCATATTGAATAAACTTTATAAGAATATGACACTTTTACTAAATAATTGGGAAATATAAATCAATACAAGCAATCAATTACATTTATTCTGATTCATTGGATTGAAGCGGCACTTTTTTTATAGATTTTCCAGATAAAGAATATATTTCTAAGAAGCTTAATGACATAAGCTACAATTACTATGCTTATCATGATAATTCATTATAAAAATTAAGCAATATGACTTTTAGCTCTAAAAAGGTCTGAAACTAAAATGAGTCATTTAGTTAAAAACCGCAAAAAAGATGCATAAACAATGTTACTAAGAATTATTCTTCGTTTATAAATAAATAAAATACCTATAATTCATGTGGTATTTCGGAATAACTTATTAATTTTTAATTTTCCTTCTTTCTGGCAGCAATTAACAAATTAAAATTAATTAATACTTAAGAGAAACTAAAAGTATTAATAAATAAAAACGAAATCAAAATAAAAAATTTTTGCTAACCCAGTTTTGGTTTCTAAAAATATGTTTATAATTATAATTTCATTTTGTATATTTTAACATTTATATGTTAACCCTAATTCTAGTATCTTTTTTTCATGATTTCATTACAATAACAATATAACAAATAATAATAATATTCGCGATCGCAACGCTCGAGTACGCCGTCTAGCGGGAGCCTGTAAATATCGGATTTTAATTTATCACGTTTTCATTTAGTTCCATCAAAGTCATTGACTGAATCAGACGCCATTTTTTAGCAGCAAATAAGAAACAAAATTTCCCTAAGGAAAAGGCCGAAGAACTTGAAAAAAATCTCCAGAATATTAGTAAATCTTTCAGGAACAGAACACGCCAAACATTTGAAGAAAAATTCCTCAATAATTTTTAATTTCTATTATCAACAAACTTGCAACTGATGACTTCCGATTTCGGATACTGTTACAGATGTGTGTATTAAGGTAAAATGC